TGTGCGTGACCACCGGAGGTGAAAAAAAAGGGGGGGGGGGGGGATATGTGGAATACCACGGTGTTCTGTGGCCTCAAAGTAACCCAAGATTCTCAGCCAGAGGGGCTGAGCGGCTCCAGGAAGCAATTGCTTGTATCAGGAAAGAGCTGGCTTTTAAGTCCTTTCCATGTTTTCTGGTTCATAGTTGGGATCCTGTAGCCGGGAGATTTCTTAAGAGCTCTGGGTGGGAGGAAATCTCCAGTCCTGGGGCCTGGTGCAGCCAATTGCCAGGCCAGACTGTCCAGGTGGCTGATAACAGCCCTATTAAGACACTGTACAGAGAGGAAGAGGGGTTGATGTGGTGTGGGTGCAGGCATGTGAGGGCTCATGCTGGGAAGAGGGACTGGTTGTGTCCAGGAGTAAGGCAGACTCCACCCAGAAGCCAGAGTGGAGCCAGGAGGCTGTGTGTATTTGCTGGAGGCACCCGGGAATCAGCCAAGGAGGCTTAGTGAGCCTGGGACACACAATGGATGTGTGGAAGAGTCACATGCAGGATAGGTGACAATCCTGAGTTGGTGAGGCATTGTAATATTACCTACTGGCTGAAACATAAGCGGACTGTATGCTGCTGAATTAAAGCTCTTTTTTGTTACGGATGAAAAATAAAGACTTTTGGTTGAAGGAAAAGCCTGTGCGAGTGCTCTGTGAGCTCCCCAACGTCATAAGTGGTGGAGAATGCGGGCATCGATCCCGCTACCGCTCACAGAAGCCGTTTAGGTGCAATGAACTGACATTAAAGGGACAGTGTGTCTATTGTACCTGGTGGGCAGAGACTGGAGTCCCTGCAAAGAGAAGTTTATGTGAACTGCAGTTTCTGTGCATGAGTGCACATTGTGTGCAGGGGAGGACACCCTGCAAGAGTTGAGGAGTGGTGACAATCCTGAGTTGGTGAGGCATTGTAATATTACTTACTGGCTGAAACATAAGCAGACTGTATGTTGCTGAATTAAAGCTCTTTTATGTTACGGAAGAATAATACAGACTTTTGGTTAAAGGAAAAGCCTGTGTGAGTGCTCTGTGAGCTCCCCAACGTCACAATATATACATATATACATATATATATATATATACATACATACATACACATACTCTGGAAACTTTGCCATAATCAAATGTGTAAGTAAAGCTGCTATTCCAGCACCGTTTAAATACTCATTTTGGGAAACTAAAATGTCACACGTTTTTCTGCATGTATAAATTAAATGCACTTTATTGAGTAAGATACTTTGCGTTGATGTGGCTATAAGTGAATTACAATTGGATCACATTTACATTTATGTGAGATATAGCACTTTTTAATATATATTTTTAACCCTTTTAATGTTTTGTCAGCAGCCAGCCTTACCACAAAGCAGCAGGCTCCCACTGCAGAGGGAGAGAGAGAGAGAGGGAGAGAGAGCGCTGGGCATCAATCAAATTTTTACATTTATAAGCAGTCACTAGTGGTGCTGGAGGTGGCACCAATGCTAGCTTGCACTGGACAGGCTTATAATGGACTGAAAAATGAAACTTTTTAATGCTAAAGTAATCAGTAATGGAATCAAAGAGTTAAAGATAGGGAAGTGTGAAACCCTTCTTCATTCTCTTGCTGTTTTTGTCATCACATAACTTTATTCCACTGATGTGAATAAAGGAAGAGGTTCAGTCTGTCTATTGACCCTATCATCACATCAAACAAGTCTGCCAGGAGCTTCTTAAAACATTTTGCATCACTTGCTGCTCTGTATATATTTTTGCTGGTTGTACTGAGCAAAAAACTAGCAATTACAATTGTAAAGATGAGCAATGGAGAATAGTGCACTTGAATGTATTGTATCTTGGAGAGTGAGGTACAATACATATGTCTCTCCCAGATCCTCATATGGATTCTCCAAGACCATGATATGGTTTTGTGCCATTCAGACTGGTCAGAATTAGTGATGAGCCGAACACCCCCGTGTTCGGTTCTAACTCGAACTTTCGAACATATCACTGCGAAACGCAGGAAACGCTGATGCCCCAGAAATATGCGAACATGCAGGTAGGCATCGGCTAGGTCTATAGAAACCATCCAATGGCCGGCCTTGACCAAGGCCAGAATGGTTCCCAGAGACTCCATCCTGAACGGCAAAGGTTTGACAAAATCTCTTTTTTTTTTTTCCAACAGAAATCCAATGCTCATACCTTTCCATGTTAGAGGTGCTCCCCCTGGTGGGCTCAACAGAAATGACACGAAGATCACCAATAGAAAATACCTCCTTCAATAATCTAAACAGGAGACAGAGACGGAGAGAGAGAGAGAGAGAGAGATCTATCCTGCAGACAATAAACTGACACCCTCCGCTCACTCTCCACCACTGCAGAGCAGAAAAACTCACCTAATCCAGGCAGTAACACCGAGCAGCCGGAACAGCCAGAACATACGCTGTCTCCACAGTGCCCGGCCCCATTTAAATACGTTTCCAGGCAACAAGGACGCCGCTCGATGCTCCAGCTGCCCGGGAGAAACGGCCCGCCCCCCCCCCTTTTCCGGCCGCCAATCACGGAGCTGCCGGGGATGACGTCACACGCCGTGGGAGGAGCCAGCCCTCGTGCAGCGGCGCCATCGCTGCTCTCCTCACACCGCCGATGCTCTCCGCCGGACACAATACCTAGGTGCAGTCTCTTATACAACTTGTGTAGAGTCTGCTGCAGAGCAACTGCAAGTATAGGCTTACCATTTAGTTTTATGGGGCTTGGGCAGCAGAACCTGGGCTTGGACAGTAAGGCAACACTCTTTATAAAGTATATCAAGGCTTGACAGGCATATAGATTTGGACTATTTTATTTTTTTCTTGCAAACTTTAAGAATAAACCTGTAGTTAAAGCATGGATTCCCATTACAAAATACCATATATACTCGAGTATAAGCCGAGATTTTCAGCCCATTTTTTTTGCTGAATTTGTGCTTGATTTCCCTTTGTCCCCCTGCAAAGTCCCACAAACACCTGCCAGTAAAGTCCACGTAACGCAGCTTCCTGCGATGGTTTGGAAACAATGCTGCACTGCTCCATAACGCAGAGCTGAGTTGACACTTTCATGTAGGCTGTCTCTGCTTGCACTAAAGTAGGATGAGTAATACTTTTAGGGGGTATGGCAAGCAGCATGGTCACTACTGTTTTACAAGCCTATAGCTTGTCAGTCAGCACCTGATCACATATAGTCCTGGCCACTGCTTTCTGGACTGGCAGCACTGCCTCTGCTGCTGAAATCCTACCACTGTGAGCTGCAGTGTCTGAGAGAGAGAGCATGAAAGACACAAATGAATGAGGATTTGGATCAAAGAAGGTAAAGGAGGTATATAGTTTACTTGATTAATCTTCTGCATTAAGGTGCCCATACACCTTACAATTTATCTGCAGATTTTCTTTGGTCAGATGGAAAAAGTGCAACAGATTGGCACAGGTGGAGATTACTCCATGCACACAGTTAAGTGTAGATGGAGGAATCTGTTGCACCTTTTCCATCTAACCACAGAAAATCTGCAGATAAATTGTAAGGTGTATGGCCAGCTTTACATAGTAACTAGATTTGGTACATGTTTTCCATACAGAAGCCTTTAGTTGTCTACTAATAGCCTTGATTTTAAACCAGATCCAGGAGGATCTGTATGTTTGAAATATTGTTTACAGTATGTAGACACTTTTTCTAATAAATGTTAGTCAGGAGGGGGAGTTTGGGGCTGGGACATCTGCGTTTAAGGTTTAAGAAGAAATGCTTAGCTTGCAAGTTCACACTTCAAAAATAAATAGTCAGATTTGCTAGAGAAGTACATAATATGGGATGGTAGAGTGGCCGACAGTCTTTTCTGCTCTCAATTTGCCAACTCAACTGAAAGGCCTGGGAATCCCAGATCATATGCATTGGTGGAACATAAACAAGCAACATTTTTTGTCATAAAGGTCAGCTTGGCGGAAGCACAGATCAAAGGATGGCTGAGTAACTGACATGACTGGAGTGAAGTATTTTCTGTTGGCAATCTGTGACATACACTGAGTGCTTGGCCTAGTGAGAGTGTCAAAAACTATTTCAGATTGCCACTGGCACTTTTTCTCAGTTTAACAAATATCAGCTTAGCTGGCAAACACATACAAACAGGCAAGCTGTTAGTGCACTGGCAGAATGGTTTATTAAACTGAATGCCACTGGCATTTATTCTCAAAGTGGAAATATGTCAACAATTTTAAGTGTCATTTTTTGGGGCAAGTACTATATGAAGGCAAACTGGCTATGTTCCCTCTTGGCAGTCTGGCACATGCACTGGCAGCATGCCTAGTATTACACAAATCGTAACTAAATTCACGTTTACAACCTGTTACTGCCTGTTACTCCAGACAAATACTGCATAGCAAACCTGTACTCACAGTATTTTTTTAGCAACACTCTCACAATAGAGGATTAAAGGGTTTGGAGGAAAAAAACAAATAAAAGAACACAAAACTCACCATGATTATTAACGTGGCTGGTCCTATAAAACTCCAAATAAAATAAGTATCATGTCGTAGCCAGCATCTGTAAATGTAAAAAAAAAATATGTAATTATTGACCATAACATACATTACTGTTACAGTACTATAATAGATATATAGCTATATATATATATATCTATATAGATATATAGATATATATACAATGTAGTAGTTGCAGTAGCATGTTGGACATCCCATTCTGAAACCATGGGCATTAATGTGGAGCTGCCCACCCCCCTTCTTTTTTCAGCTACAATAGTTGCTACCGTATGGGAAGGCCTTCCACAAGATTTTATGTCTGTGGGAATGATGTTGGATAAGAAGCCCTGGCTCCCAATCAGTGTTCCAATTCATGCCAAAGGTGTTCAGTAGGGTTAAAATCAAGGCTCTGTGCAAGTTACTTGAGTTACTCCAACCAAAACTAATTAAACCATGTCAGTATGGACCTGGCTTCTTGTGTTGTACCAGAATAGGGGCTTTACCAGCATTCTGCAGAATTAAAAAAAAACACACATAAAAAAAAACCCTGTTTATTTCTCTAGGAACAACAGACTTAAAGGATAAGATTAAACCTACCGGTAATTATTATAACAATCAACCATTTTGACTTTTCATGTTTAGGAGATACTGTATGTCCTCACATCTTGTCAAGGCTAAAAGTGATAGGAAATCCCCTTCGAATGGAGGATACAGATAAAAACATTTTAATGCAGTGGGGAAGGAATCGAATTCCTGACTGTTTTTTCTGCTGCTTGTGCCAACCTGTCTGAGTGACACCAGCACCCATTTCTTGTGCAGATGTCACAGGAAAGGAGATAACAAAGAATCTTCTCAAAGAGGTCACAGACAAAAACCTATAAGAAATGTTAACTCTTCCCCTTTAATACAACGCTGAGGTAGAACCTTTTAGTTACAGCTCCATTTTAATACAGTACTGTTTCTTAAGCTACATAAGGGCTTTAAGGGCTGACTTTCAGTGACAGACAGAATCCATTTAAAGCTAAACTGATCAGCTCCTGGACATTCAATTGTGCTACACAGAGCTCTATTTGTTCTTACAAAATACATCAGACACTCTGAATAATATCTGTTCTTTCTGCTTAATCATCAAACAAGAGTGCACTATTTCTTTGAGCATGTTTGGAATATTCTGTCCCCACAGCCAATAATATGCTTTCTAGTATTTTCAACTTTTCTACTTTCTAAGGTATTGGCGTATGAGACAGAGAGAGACATAACCTTGCCCCAATGCAAACATTGGTAAAACCTTATCTTAAATATGCAGTACAGTTTTGGGTACCAGGTCCTTTTGTTCTCTGATGGAGGACTAGCAGTGACAAAATGATTATGACAGTGGAGCACAAAAGGGTAGGGATAGGGCCTGTCTTTACTCCTGGGGATGCCATGCTTCAGTCAGAGGACAGCAGCCATGCAAATTGCAAAGCACTATCCTTTGAAAGGCCAGCAGCTGATGCTTTCTGCGATCTGGGCCATAGTGAGCACCATGAAGATGCTGTGTCAAAATGCCTTTGGGTGACAAGGAGGGGAGAGCAGGACTTCCCTAAAGGAGAGATAGAAGTGGGAGAGCAGTGACATATGGAAAGAGGGAGTGGGGACACATCACAGTGGACAGTGGGTATTAGCTTCTATCTAGAGCTGCAAACAAATTCATGCTATAACCACCCCCCAGTCCTGCAATCAAAACACCACTTTGTCCAAGATCTGCCAACCCCTAAAATCTAAATGAAATGTCTTGGCCTGTTTGCCAGATTTTCAGTTGCTATTTTTTGTTTTCGATTGTTATTTTTATAATTGTTTATATTTTGTTTTGTTTTTTTAACTTTATGTATTATTGATGGGGGGGGGG